AGAGAGAGAGAGAGAGAGAGAGAGAGAGAGAGAGAGAGAGAGAGAGAAAGGGAGGGACGAAAGATGGAAAAGGCGGAGAGGATTACGGCAGATGGAGAGGTTCGCGAGTGAGCGGCGCACAATCGCACGGCAGAAGCGGAATACAGGGGACAAAGCGGCGGCAGCGAGCGTTAAGAGCGAAAGAGAGGTAGAGTGGAAGGCGCGGAAGACGGTGAAACGAGGCGAAAAGAGAGGAGAGAAAGCTAGAAGGGAATCTCGCAAAACATACACAGCTGAAACTGACACATCCCTCTGCCAGTCTACCGGCTTTTCTAGCGGATAGAGAAGGACGAGCGAATCTAGACACTTACTTAGCGACACGCGCAGCATTTTGCCGTCGAGCCGAACTTCCTCGCTCCGTCTCGAAACCATTTCCCTCTGGTCTCTTTCCAGACGCCCAGGCCAAATTCAACTGGCGTCACTAATCGTTACGAAGGTGTACTTTCCTGGCGCCAGTCGGAATCGTCCGACCATCTCCAGCCGGCTCGATTATTCCAAGATTAATCGAAACCATGACGGATGTTCGAGCGCGCGATGACCGTTCCATTGTTCGCGCCCAGCTGATTCCCTTTCGATCACGCTATCATTCGTCGTTTCACCGCCGCGGCGGCTAAATTACTATCGGTACCGTCGGCAACATCGCGCCTACAGGCGACAGACTACGATGCTTTCAAATTATTTCTTTCACACGCCATCTTGATAGATACGCGAGAGTGAGCCACCGGTGGTACACGCCGTCCGATGGGACGTATTGGGTTGTCCGGAAAGTTCGTGTCTATTTTTCAAGAAAAATTCAAAGGCATATTTGAATTTTCATGTACATTTATTGAATTATATATGTGTCATTTTGTTCCGCAACGTTTCCACCACTTAAGAAATGTACACGTGTTATTCGTTTTCAGCCATTCCGTCATATTCAGACCCGTACCGTCTAGTAAAAATCGCCATGGACTTTCCAGACAGTCCACAAGTGTGAGCCACTAGTGGTACACGGCGGCGTAAACGTGTTAAAACTAGACTAAAAAGGACGCGAAAGATTTCTATCCGTTTGGATAGACGATAGAATATCATCTACGTCACCCCGAAGCCTCCCTTCCACTTTGGAAAACACTGGTTCGAACGAAGGGATCGGTAGCAGACACGTTTCGCGCCATCGTCGAGCCCTTTATCGAGCCAAGTCCTCGGCTGTCATCGCCCTCTTCGTTTCCGACTGTCAACTTTCAAGACGAACCCCCTCCCCCTTCGTTCCACCACCGACAACAACCCCTTTAACCCTTATCGGCCTCGTCTGAATCTGACACGTGATTCGAATTTGTCGCGTACCCGCGGTGGCAAAACGAGGCTCTTCAAAGCGGTAACACGTTGGAGATCGTCCTCGACTCCGTCACCGTTCCACACCGTCTGTCCTTGACCAAAATTTCCTGCAGGAACGAAAGACGTAGCCGAATTGTTCTTCGTCGCCTCAACGACCTCGCGACGCGAACTCGAACGGCAACCGAGGCTGCCGCGAGCGTCACCAGACCTAACCGACAGCGGTAATTATTTTTCGAGAAAGGGTGACGGGCAAGTGGCACTTCCGCTCCAAGGACGAGCTCTCGCTACTTTTTAAACGACCAGTTGCGCGCGGTATCTCGAATTAACGAGGGTCTCCTCGCATTCAGATGTCGTTCCGACGACTGCGTTGCGTCAGCTACACGGGAATCTTTTGTTCGTTTCCTGATAGGTTTACTCGTGCCGCGTCGCGCAATTACGCAACTCCGTACCGTTCTTTCGTTCGCTTTTTCCCGTTGCTTCCTTTTATTTTATTTTATTTTATTTTTTTTTTTTCACTTTTTAATTGCCGATTACGCAACGTTCCTCATAAACGTTCCATTATTCGCTCGCTGAAAGTTCCCAGCGGAGGGTTACGAAACGCGATCGTCTAACAACGGACGAAACGTGTTGCGTCGTTCCCGTTAAATATTCACGCACGCGCGATGCCGCGAGGGGGGGCGAGAGGCGCGTGAAAAAGTAGGATAGTCTCGCGCAAATAGATGACATTTTTCCCGGTTGAAACTTTTCTTTGGAAACGATGGACCAATTTCTCTTCGGTCGCCGCGACCGCGTCGTTTCGTACGCTCAACCGAGCCGTTCTCCTTCTCGTTCTGCTTCCGAGGCGGAAGCGTGCATCGAACCTAACGACGCGATTCGCAGTAATTAGTCTCTTCCGCGTGCTTTTCCTCTTGTTATTATCCGACGAATTCATAAATTCAACGAAAATTCGGTGAACGCTCGTAGCGTTATTATCGTCGATCTTCTTCGACGTTCCAAGTTACTTGTACATCTTCTAAGCGTCTTCTACGTCACCGTGCGTGCCGTCGCGACTCGTTAGGCGACGACCTTTATTACGAAGAAGCTCGTGGAAGAGATAAGAGAACGGATTCGATAAAATTCCTCTCAGTTTTTTTTTTTATCTTTTTCTTTGAATGACGCCTTTAGAATCGACGGAACGGTATAAAAGTATCCAGAGCTCGTCCGTCCAAGCTCGTATCATTCCGGCGGCCAGCCGCGCGACGTTCACGCGACCGATGTACAAGCCGCGATCATTTATTTATCGTCGTTCCCGAGCAAACTGATCGCGCAGCACGTTTTGAATTTTTCACGCGGATCGTTCTCGCCTGTCCTCCACTACCCGCCCCCTCCCGTCGCCGAGGACGGCCTCTCAGAAAATTCGTACGAAGGACGGTAATACCAGCAACCTCGATTCCCGTTTGAAAAATTGAAAGGCATGGTGCGTGGTTCTATCCAGTGCAATGTGCGCGCGGCGACGGTGTTCGTCCTGGTGATGTTGCTGTTTCGTCAAGTCTCGGACGTCGTCGGTTTCAGTATACTGGGAATTTGTCCCAGCGCCAGCTACAGCCACCAGCAACCCTTTCAAGCATTGATGAAAGCGTTAGCGGCTCGTGGACACAACGTCACCGTGATATCGACCATCCCGTCAAAGGCGAGCGATTGTTCTCTTAAACGATTCAACGATGCCCGCTGTAAATCTAAATTATGTATCAGAGAAGCTCTCTGTTCGATGTACTTGAATACGTGAAAGTATAAAGCGATAAAACAGCGACAGTGAAGCTGGCGCTCGAGTCACCGAGCAGGATCAGAATGGCATAGAATGTTGAACCGCTACCGGTCGGTAAAGCGTTAAGCAGGATACAGTATATTTTTTACTGTAACCACTCGACGGCGATAAGGTCGATGGTTCCCTCGGAACGGACGATCGACTCGATTCCATGCAAGCCACGCGTTCCTTTCGCGCCCTCTCGCGTTCCCCGGCAGTTCATTTTTACTTCTCTTCCTCTTCTCTTCTTGTCTCGCAGCAACTTCCATTTTTCCCCATTTCCGTTCCCTTTCGTTCCTTTCTGCTTCCCGTTTCCCGAAGACCCCTCTCCGTCCATAAACTCGAGTTCAAAGTTACCCAAACTCGGTTCGGGTTCGATTTACCCTCGCTAACGTTTCTCCTCGTTTTCTTCGTCGGGAAATCAAAAGTTCGCTCGCGCACGTAAATCGCCGGCAAACAGAGCGATCGACGGTCCCGATGAAACGTTTCGATTTCCCGCGGACACATCTGCCTGCTAGCTCGATCGTGTAATGTTTCAGAAGCCGATACGGAACTACGAGGACGTCGACCTGTCGTTCACCTACCGAAGAAACAACTGCGCGGGTTTAAGGTACGTTCCCGCGTTTTCGCGGCGAGGATCTTTCGACGCCGAAAACCGGCGAAATTAAATTATCGATTCCCTCCGCAGGCACATGGGAGCGTTCACCCTTCTCCACAAGAACATGCGGGACGCCAACGAGTTGTGCGAGGAGCAACTGTTCAGCCCTCCCATCGCGAGCTTAATTTCGTAATACAAATATTCATTCTGCTATTTAATGGTGGGACGGGCGGGAAAGGGGGAGGGTGTGTACACGCAGCCCTGGAAAAAGTAAACGCGAAAAAATATCATTTCGCGAAGCTCGTTAAGGGGGCTAAAACAGTCCGCGAACGTGCCTAGCGCAATTTCGTTCTCCCCCGAACTAAAGGAAATTACCGACACCGACACCGACACCTGCTCTCGCGGCAGGAGAAACGCTGTCGACAGAAATTACAGTAATTCCAGTCGGTTACAACTTGATCTATAAAGCTAATCGAGATCGCGGGCTGTTCTCTTTTTTTTTTCCAGGAGGAACAAGACCTTCGACGCGGTGATTATAGAACAGTTATGGTACCAGTGCTATTACGCCCTGGTGAGGCATTATAATTCTCCCGTTCTAATCGGATTCTTGAGCGTCGGAAACCTCCCGTACGTTATGGACTCGGTTGGTAAGCATCGACGCGCTTGGGAATTGGGAAATCCGACGAACCTTGGGGTTCTTCAGGATCTAACCTGTAATTCGCGTCCAATTTTTATCGACGTACTTCTCTCAATCGTACACTTGTTTCAATCTCCATCTTGATATTACGTTAACAAAAATTTTCAAGTAATACAGTGAAATTACTCGTTACCTATCAGGCTTAGGGCTAATAAAGGTCGATACTTTTTTATTTAGAGTTCGATACTCTACCATAGCTTTGTATAAAGTTCAGAATATGTATACGGAATCTATATGTATACCCGCTTACATTGCACATAAAAAAAAAAACAGTATACATTTGTCCTCTTTCGTTTTCTTGCCAGATGTACCGTTCACGAGAAAAACGCTGGCTAGTGATAGCCTGAACACCCTGTATAACGAACAATTTATTTGCAAACGTCAAACCTATCGCTTAATTTAGACAAATTCCTTCAATAAACACAGAGGGCACGAATATTTATGGGACCGGCTGTATGACTGGATCCACCTTATTTCTCGAATAGTAACGT